CTTGGCAAACCCGTACCCTTTTTTGGATTTAGATACTTGAAGATATGCCCTTTCCAGCCATATACAAAATTATATACCCTATCACTGACCAAATTTGAGAAAATTGCCCTCCAAATTCGCCATTTTCAAGAAAATTCCAAAATAACTTCAACTTGCTCTAAAATTACGATCCTTTGACCTACGTCAATAAAACTTGGCACACACATGTATTTATATACGTGACAACTGTCCGCAAAGTTTGGTAAAATTTGATTATGTCAGCGCAAAGTTATCTCAAAAAATGATGTATTTACTATGCATTGCGTGATAGCGCGTTAAATGCGTGCAATACATTGCACGAAGATAACAATGGTGTCAAACTGACCGCAATGAAGTGCCCTTTCGAATGATACCAAGTATAGTATATGTTCACACAGAAAATTGTGAATAAATCGCATTTGAACAAAGATCACTACACGAATTCCGCCGAGTTTCCGCCCGAATCTAACACGTATCGGCTATGACGTCATTTTTTCAGACTGCTTTTCGCCCCTTAAACGTCCTTTTTTTTCCTTGAAAATTTGCAGTGACATGCCGAGTTCCAATACGCAGGGCACCTCATGGCCGGATTTTTAAAATTGGTCAATGTGGCTATTTAAGACGCCATTTTGTCCTATAAATCTATTTTACATCACGTGTTTCGATAGGATTATCATGGGAAAAAAGAGAGTGGTTTACAATAACATTCATGAAATTCTCTTTCTAATGATACCAAATACGGCTCATAAAGAGACATAAAGAGAGAGAGAAAAAACAATTTAACTCCGGTCATAATACAGATCCTGTACGTTTTCCGCTCATGCATTACACGCATTGTCTATGGGGCATATCGGGTTCACGCTTTTGACCCCCAGAACGATCTTTATTGCAATGACGAACATGCACCAAATCCCCTTGGTTTTTGCACGCAGTGCTTGCGAGCCCTTTCCACGTCCTTTCCCATATCCCAATTTCTTTCAAACTTCGTAGGCATAGTCACTACCATCCCATCAAGGTCACTGTTGAGGCCTTTCTTTCGCCCTACCTATCTCCAATATCACAGAAGCTACAGACTTCGTACAAATTGCTCTGGATAGGGCGAGAGAAGCTCTTTCGTTTGACACGTAGAAACATGGCGTCATTGCACGCACATCGTTGTGACACGATTGCATTTCTAGTTATTTATTGTTTTTCTCTATTTCCTTCTGTTGTTATTCGTTGTTTTTCTCTCACTCGTACCACGTCTCGATACAAAAGTACATGTACCGCGTACCGCGACACTGGACATATAGGACGTACGTTGAGCATTGCAGAAGAGCTACGCACGTGCGCGCGCAATATCTTGTCATGGATAGACTTTTCCCAGTCGGTTCCTTAAAATTTATTGGGAAAAGGTCCAGGCCAGGGTGTAAAACGCAAAGTCGCTGGCGGCGCAAAAAAAAAGAAAAAAAAGAAAGGAGAAGAGAAGAAAAAAAGGAGAAGAGAAAAGAAAGGAGAAGAGAAAAGAAAAGAGAAGAGAAAAGAAAGAAGAGAGAGAAAGAGAGAGAGAGAAAAAAAAGAAGATCCCCCCCCCCACCTCACTCCCACTCCGGGGTCGGAGGGACCGATTTTGTGTTCCCAAAATTTCCGATAAAGGGTTACTTTTCACGCAACAAAGTCCGGCCCGTAATACACACAAATCCGGCCCGCACTGACTCTACACACCGAAGATAAAGGGGTGCTTTCAAACTAAGAGAGGGAACATACATGCGCATACCCTAGATAACACTGAGTGGGTGGGGGTGGGGGTGGGAAGGGGAAGAGAAAAGTCGGGTGAGAAAGGGGGAAAGACAAGGAAATGGCGCTAAGTGACAGTAGCGACGAATAAGGGAAAAACTGTAATCGGGAGATTTGGGGTCATCCAGAAGACTTGGGAAACGTTATTGAATAGAGGGGGCCGGGCCGGCCGCATAAAATCTCGAGCCACGGATTCAAAGTTAAACGTTACAAACAGCCACTGCTTTTTGAAAAAAATTGAAAAGGGCACAATGTTTTGGATGTCTTTCAAATACAAGCTATATACTAAACAGTCAAATTTTAAATTAACGGTAGGGCCGCTTCACAACTCTTATTTTGCCCTTCATTTGGATTCAGCTCATACCAACTCGTTGTGCTTATATTTGAACTCATGTAGGTAGTGATAATGGACAGCGGCGGCGATCCTGGGCCCGATAGAGAGACACGTCCCCCCTGAAATTTAGATATATAGCTAGAAAGAAATATACATGTAGCGGAAAGAACGTACATATTGGACTAAATGATTTTCTAGAATGCATAATTTCAGCATTCTACATTGCAAAATCTCACTTGGTCGCTCCGCTCCGGCCCTCGCCCGATAAACACAAAACTAAGATATGACGCTCCCGGTCGCGATTATTTCATGGTTGGTGTATACATAGATCTTTTTTCCCCTTTCATTTCTACTGACCTAATTGTATGCTATCACAATCATGATTGTTTCATTTTCCCTTTAAAGCATGCGTAGCTAGGGGCGGTAGGGGCAGTAAGAGGACATAGGACGGAAAAAGGAGCAGACAAAGAAACATTTTTGACAAGTCTAAAACGGGAAAACAAATCGTCTTCTTTCTCTAATAATAATGAAACGTTAAGCTTCTGCGCTTTGCGCTGGAGGGGAAAACTGAATTCAGAGAAGGATTAAGAGTCGGAAATGGAACAACGAATTATCTTCTTTCTCTAATAATTTCATTAAACTATAAGAGGTCAGAGCTTCCGCGCCTCGCGCGGAAGGTGGAAAATGAATTCAAACAAGGATTAAGAATCGAGAATGAGACAACGAATCATCTTCTTTCTCTCATAATTTAATGAAGCGTCAGAAGCTTACGCGCTACGCGCGGGAGGAGGAAAACTGAATTCAGACAAGGATTTAGAGTCGAGAATGAAACAACGAATCATCTTCTTTCTCTAATAATTCAATGTAACGTCAAAGCTTCCGCGCTTCGCGCGGAGGGGGGAAACTGATTTCAGACAATGATTAACAACCGAAAACGGTACAACGAATCGTCTTCTTTCTCTAATAATTTAATGAAACGTTAAACTTTTGCGCTTTACGCGGGAGAGGGGGGAACACAATTCAGAGGGGGGAAACTGATTTCAGACAATGATTAACAACCGAGAACGGTACAACGACTTATATTATCAAAATTCAAAATTACAGAGAAGTGACACGACATCATAAACATTCTCAAAATGGTGCACTTCAATCAGGGAAAAATTTAATATTTATTTTTCGGGGGCTACTTTTCAAGCTTGCCTGCATGAATATAACATTCTAAAATTTGTTTTGCATTGAACTCTATGCAAATTTATGGGGGCTCTTTTCTGATTTTCGGGGGCTCTTTTTGGGCATTTCAGGGACTAATTCGCCCCGAGCCCCCGTGTATTTTTTTCACTGGCTTCAATATTACACCATATCACAGACACTGATAACACGTAGGGCCGTGTATCTCAGATTTAACATTGTTAAACGATCCCTTTAAATATAAATCCACTTTTTTGAAAATGCCTGAAACAAATCTGGAGTTCATGAATAATGGTTTGCCGTTGACTAAAATACACGGGGGGGGGGGGGGATACTCAGATTTGGTTTGGACGGGGGAGTGCCATTGAAGCCTCAAAACCCCTACCCACTATTAGGGATAATTTGGGGTCATTTTTCTCGAGAAAAGACTAAATTTTCACAATTTTCTGGTGTTTTTCGGGCGTTTGCATGGCAGACACCAAAAAAAAAAAATTGTATTTTTGTTAAAAGTGGGACCCATGTTTAGGGATTTTTTGTGAAAAAAAGTGACCCGTTAGAGCGGCACATCCCTGTATGTCCTAATATACTAATATTTCCTCTTGAAAAGGAAACTGTAGAAACAGAAAAAAACTAAATGTATTCCTGAGACTATAAGTGAAGGAAGAAACTACCATGCTTTCCAAGTACACTTAATATCCCCCCCCCCCCTCAACTGCATAGGCTAATATTACATTCAGAGCCTCTGATCAAGAACTGTTAAAATGGGTCAATAGAATAAACAAATCTTCAATTTACTTTATATTGTTCATTAATAATAAATCAGGTTATGACTGAGAGTGGAAAAAATTATCATTCTCCGCTAATTAAGGCAGATTCCCCGGCCACCCCCCCCCCCCTATTTAGGGTACGCGTATGCTTGTTCTCCTTTTTTGAAAGCATCCCCTATCTGAGGGCTGCCAACATTTCCGAACCCCCCTTTCGCTGGCTTTTCACGGGCTTTTCCTGCCTTGGAGACCCCCCTAAATTCAGAAAAATGCTCAATGTACCCCCCTTAAATCAGAATAATTTCTCAGGAGACCAAAGAGATGAGAGAGAAAAAAAAAAAAAAAAAAACCTTTTTAAAGAAATCTCCGGGTGAAAAGTCAAATACACCCCCTTTTTTTACTATTCTCGGGCCGGACTTTGTCGCACGAAAAGTACCCATTTACCTGACATTTTGGCAACACGCATGCGGTCATTCCGACCCCGGAGTGGGGGGGGGGGGCAGATTCAAGGTTTTAGAAAATGAGGATGCCGAGTGGATTGAAAACGACTGAAAAATATGGGCTTAATATGTTGTGGTAAATAAATATTGTCGAGTGTGGATTGTCAACATCTGGGGCTATAGAATTAACACACGTTTCAATGGGATAGTCAAGAAGTTAGACTTATGACGGTTTCTAGGAACCCGCCCCTGGATCTGCTTATGCTTCTCAAGCATATTGTTTTTGACCTTTTTGTTTATCAAAAATACAATTTGTTTAAGATAAAGTTTTTTACTCAGTTTAAGTGATTAGTTCAGATTCTATAACGGTCTGAAATTTTGCTAAGATTTTCGCTTGACAAGATCCAGTAAGTAGAACCCCCACCCCCAGTTAGCTTTTTTTCTTCTACTATTGGGAAAAAAGAAGGTAACTTTAGAATTTCTTTTCGGTTTGAAGATACCATACACCGCATATTTTCTTCAAATTTTCAAGATTTCCATGGAGTTCGGTGTAAACATTTCCTGATCAACTGATTCGATGACGCACATAAAACAAGGTTTGATGACTGAAATCGCAATTTTAAAAATCTAATTATGATTTTAGAATGTTATTGAGTGAAAGAGCAACCATTTAATTGAGTTTATTGCTATCAAATATGTCATTTCACGTCCAAAAATTACTGAATCATTCGGCCCTGTTAATTGTGCTAGCCCGACTCTGCCGCTACACAGCCGCAGCGCATCAGCAGTGCAGTGTAAAGCAGCTGCTCGGCCTCGGGCACCGGCAGTGCACTGTCACTGTAGCGGAGTGGTACTTTTTGTTTTGTTTTGTAGTGACGATACACCCACTTCGGTCTAGTTTGATGGAATGAAGCACGCGCGGTGTAAAAATACATTACATTATACATATTACTTAGCGCCATTAAAGTTTAGCTGAATTGTAGTCTACTAATGATTTAGATTAAAGGAGCCATGATTCCTGTGACTTAAAGTCACTGAGTAGTCGGCTCTCATGGGGAATTCGACACCGTTCGGGTGTTTACCCAATAACAGGTGTTGTCAATCACCAGGGTTAGCCTTGAGTTTTATGACCATTGGACCTTATGTAATGCTTTGAATTGCCCGAAGACTCTCGAGCTCTCCGAGAGATTAGGGGGTAATTCTTGACTGGACTATGGGTTTGCTGTGTGCAAATTTGTACCCCCATTAATGGTATTTCCACCAAGTCTGGTGTCAGCGAATTATGGCCTTCTGCACATGGAAACTGGCGATCCACCCCCTTTAAGCATTTTGGAACTCTATTTTTAAAATGAAAAATAAATCAACATTTATTATTTTTGTTCAGCTTCATGAATGAAGCTGAATATTGGGGGTAAAAATTGAATGTTTGCAACTCATACTTTTATGGGGAAGTCTACCCTGATATAATAAGTTGGTTTTGAATTGAATAGTAATACTTTATAGAGTCTAGAAGTAGAAAAATGAGAGGAATTACAAATAAATCTACAATTTAATTAAAAATGAGAAAGTTCTGAATTTTTTAAGTTGATTCTTGAGATCCAAACACCAATTGGTAACACTGACATATCTTGCGAGGTTCCTTCATTATTGATGACGGAATAGATTATTCCCATACAGGGGTTTTATAGAAACATATTCAACTTTATTCGCTATAATTATATAGGGTGCATGTACAATTACAAAATTTCTTGAGGGAAAAAAATGTCTTCCACTATAAAGGAATAAGCATGCTAGTTGAAGTTCAAATGCATTACCCTTTCATTCAACTACAGGTTAGCTTGGGAGTGTAACTTCTTCCAGTCATAATGGATCCTTTGTACATGGCATTGAGCCTGTTCCGCAGGAGAAAGTTTGAGGAATGTGTAACGGTCTGCTCTCAACTTTTAGAAAGGAATCCCTATGATCAGGTACATGTAGATTCTTCATGCTGGACCTTCACTCAGTCTTAACCCCCCCCCCCCCCCTATTTGTGTAAAATGTCATACCATTTTGGGTGTCAATGAATCTTGTCAAATAATTAATATAAATCTACTTCTGAGAGTTTTTTAAAAAGTTTAGAAATGAAGAATGATATAGAATTCTGGGAAACTATTCATGACTTTGCATGACTGTGTCTTTAGTTGAACTTAATTCATGTCATTTATATTGCATCAGATTGAAATAGGATTTAATTTCTTACATTTTTTCTTCATAGTAAAATTAAATGTGTTTAGGTTCAAAGACAAACGCATATTGCAGTAATAATAATAATAACTACTTTATGCAATTGTGAGACTTCTTGCAAAATAAGCTGTAGTTAGAACTGTTTTCTCAGACAGTATTGCAGTAATATGAAACTAATGAAAGATTTATAAATTCAATTGACTGATTAATTTTTATGTTTGTTGTAATGATTGAGTTGCCATATATAGATGAATGTACTTTGTCATGATGATAAGTCATACTGTAAATGCAGCAACTACAACATTTTTCTCCCATTTCCCAATCAGGCTGCATGGTCCTTGAAGACAAGAGCTCTGACTGAACAGGTGTACTTAGATGAGATAGATGTGGATGAAGAAGGCATTGCGGAGATGCTTATGGATGATAATTCAATCGCTCAAGTAACACGTAAGATTTTACGAATATTACTCCAAAAATATTTGTAATGTGACTTGATGCCAGAAATTATATTGTAGAAATGTATGTTCTTTATGGTTCGGGTGAGTATACCATTTATTTATTTATTTTAAAGCCACATTTTGTGTCTCGATTTTGATTTGTTAAATATCCTTTGAATGAATGATTTACATCATATTTTTTTAACAACTTAAAAGAAATAAGGACACAGGTTATAAGAAGAGAACGTACATCTAGAGAATAAATTTGAAGTGCCAATTTGAAATACAGAAACGTAATAGAAAATAGAATAGTTCAAAAACATTCTAATGTTTCACCCATATCATAGGTCCAGGCACCTCTTTAAAGAAACCTGGTACAGGCTCAGGGGCCCCCAGTGCAGGAATGCGTCCTACATCTCAATCTGGGAGGCCCTTGAGTGGGTTTGTAAGGCCAGGTACACAGAGTGGAAGACCAGGCACTATGGAGCAGGCTATCAGAGCCCCTAGGACTGCACACACAGCCCGCCCTGTCACCAGTGCGTCAGGCAGATTTGTGCGCCTTGGAACAGTAAGTTCAGGAATTTGAGCTTATTTGATTTAATAAAAACAATTAAAAGCACAATGAAGCAGACTCAGTCTATGTAAACAAAAGAAAAGACGTCTCTAAATCAGAATAAGAATGCTGAATTAATTGAATGGTGTACAGGAAATTCAATGTTTAAGTTGGTTATTTTATTTGACATGATGACCAGCGTTGAACATAGTGGTGCAAGTGAGTACAGTAAAATTGTTTCATTGTTTGGGCTGTATGTCATTCATTAAACCGTGAACAATTTTAGGCTCTATTTTGAACTCTTTATCTTCCTGGCCCTCAAATTTACACAACCGCATATATGACAACATGTCTACAAAAAGGAAGCATGTCCATGAAGCTTTCATTGAAATGGTGTGTAAATAGTAGTTGTTGGAAATGAGAGAATAGAACAAATTGGTTCAGCCAAGAGGAAAACCCACTTTTTTTGCCTTAGAATCTCACATTTATTCATGAATACCCATTATTTGATTGATTTTTCAGGCTTCTATGCTGTCCACACCAGACGGTCCATTCATCAACATTCCAAGGTTGAACTTTTCAAAGTATGCTGCCAGACCAAACCTAGCCAAGGTAATATACTACTTCAGGACAGGATTTATTTCAAGGGCTAAATTGATCACATACTGTTCTTTAAATCGTAATAAAATGTAATGTCTTTAAACACAAATACATGGGTAGGAACTTAATTAAAAAGTTGGATAAAATAGCCAATACAGTGATTTTGAATCTTTGAACCTGTTGCTAATTTAAGGATTTTAAAGCTTACATGTATTTTCCTTTATAGAATCCTTAGCATCAAACACAATATGGTCATGTAACAAAATGGTTACAGTGTGTGCAGACATTTACGCCCTCTTTATTCATGTATCTGGTATATTTTGTTTGGCTCAGAATCAAAAGTTATTTAGCCAAACCATGAAATGTGTAATGATTGTTAATTGCGAAAGAGTAACAGCATTTCATCTTCTGATACATATATAACCACTGCAGATGTTGCTGGAAACGGTATCATGACTGCGTACCCATGCTTGTAGTATTCCTGTAGTATTCTAAAGCATCTGCCCATGCTTGTAGAGTTCTACAAAATGTAGTAGTATACAAAAATCTACAGTGGCAATTATGCTTAGTGTACACTTGGGCCAAGAGTGATGTGCATTCGTTACTACCGACATACCCATCTCAGGCCTTAAATTTCGTCATTTTTAGGGCAAGGCCAGTTTGGCCTCGAGTACCTCATATTTTTAAGGGCACCAAGGCCAAAATATTTTTACAAAAAGGGCATCGAGGCCAAAATATTTTACAAAAAGGGCATCGAGTATGAGGCCAAAAAAATTGATTCTACTTTTGTTAGATGTCATGTGTATTTTATGAAACTTGTGTGGGATCAATTTCCCATGACTTTTAGCACCAGCTTCTTCACAGAATGTATAGAGGTCTACGGTACATACAAACAAGGCGGCGGCCCGCAAGCCTTAGATTTAGCAGCCAGGAGCAAGGGGCAATTTTTTTTTTAAGTCGCCCTTTGCCATAGGAATTTACCAGAGCAAGGGGCAATTTTCCAAAAACAGATAGTCTAGGCCCCTTATCTAATCATAAGTTCAAAGAGAGTTGTTAATTTCATAATGTGAATAGATCGAACGATCAATTTAATAACTTTTTAATCTTAACAATATGAACAGGAAAGATTGATTAAGAACATTAAACTTGCACATTAAACAGTATTCTAAAGTAACTAAAAATATTGATGAGCAAATGAATAAATAAATTGTCAATTTCACAAACATCGAAAGTCAGAAGGACTTGGCAAGTTTACCGGGCCGGGTATCCCAAATCAAAATCGCACCTCACACACAAACCTTCCGCCACTCTCTCGGTAGTAGGAGCAAATTTGAAGAAATTATCTTTTTAACTGTTGTATAGAAAGGTCTAGATAGGCCTAACTAATGAAATAAGATGTAAAAATGTCCTTATAGACATTCGACAGCTGAAAGTGACACGCTCAGCTCAGTTGCGTAACGTGCATTCACGAAACCAAAATCGTTCCTCGCACACACACTCTCGCCACTTTTGGTGGGAAGCTGTCGGGCTGGAAGTTTGCCAGCGAAACCGATGCACCCTCGGAGACTCGCAGCGCGTAATTTTACCAGGACTCGAAACGTTCGTCTTGGGAGGCTGGCGGGGTAGCTTTTTGAAGCGAGGTCGGCTGGTGGCAAAATGAGAGTAATTACGATCGAGAACATCGTAGGTGTTCTTAACTTATTAACAAGATAATTCTAAATTCTATTTGAGATAAAATAATAAACTAGACCTACAAACAAACCTCGACAGATCTCTAATGACTATTTGAATGCTTGTTTATTTCTCCATTTGACGATTTGTTTTCTTGATCCTGGCCTTTGATTTGTACGTACGTGCGTGCGTCAACAACATGCACCATGCGATCGCATGAACGTACGTGCGCTAGCGCATTGCCTATATAATAACAAAGGGCGCATTTTCACAGCACTAAATACGAAGCTAGAAGAGAGCTCGTGGGCGGCAAACTGTTCGTGATTCGTGTATTTTTTCTGTTCTAATAATTTATGGGCGCATTTTCACGGAAAACACTTGCGCCTTGCCGTCTAGTTTTAAGCGCAATTGGTGGTTTTATGTGCGCAAATTTAAAAAAAAAGGGCACGTCCAGTTGGAAAAAAGGCACGTCGGCCAGTTTGAAAAAAAGGGCACGGCCTTTTTGGCCGTGAATTTATCTTTTTTTGGGAGGGCACCGCGGCCAGTCATAGGGGCATCGACGGCCTGGCCGTCGATGGCCGTCGATTAATTTAAGGCCTGCCATCTAACATTCTTTTAGTGAATACACATTTTTGTTGTGCAGAAATTTCACTACAAATGAAATAGAATGGAAAAAAATGAATTTCATCTTGTTGCTCTACTCACCCTCTATTTTAAGATCCCCCCATAAACTCATCTTGAATTACAATTTGCTTTATCGGTCATTATTATTACAATTTTATTCATTATTATTACACTTTATTCCTTGTTTCCAGGCCTTATTTGAATACATTTTCCATCATGAGAATGATGTGAGGAATGCATTAGAGCTAGCAGCCAAGGCTACTGAAGCGTGTCAATTCAAAGATTGGTGGTGGAAGGTTCAGCTTGGAAAGTGCTACTACAGGTAAATCATACAACAAAACTTAGCAATTTGTTGAAGAGTTGTAAAAACTATGAATATTATTTGGGGAAGGGTATCACTATTTGTGAGATATTACACTATAGTTAGGGGCTCCCAGCATATCACTTTTTTTATGTGTGTACTAGGGGTCCTCTTCTGTTAGGCTGTGTTGTTATGTTGATGGACAGTTTACTAATTTACTTAAAACATTACCATCCACTGCTGTGTCATCTTAAATACCTATCCTGATAAACATGTGATGTGAAGGTATAACGTTAATGGGCCAACAATTTATACTTTAACTCATTCCCTGCCATTTATGGGCTGTAATTTTCAATGCCTTGCTTCATGAAATAAGTAACCTGGTATGTGCATACGACTCTGCTACAGTTCTGTACGAATTGATATAAGCAGATGTTGAATTGGACTCGGCCACTAAAGCCTTATTTTGTTTGTTTACATTGAATCAGGTTAGGGTTGTACCGTGATGCCGAGAGTCAGTTCAAGTCGGCTATGAAGCAGCAAGAAGGCATAGATGTCTACCTCTATCTATGTAAAGTTTATGTGAGGTTGGATCAGCCATTGACTGCTGTTGAAATCTACAAACAGGGTCTGGAAAAGTTTCCCAGCGAGACTACTCTACTGACAGGCATCGCCAGAATATATGAGGTAAAAAAATGTCATCACTGTAAATGCATTCATTTTTTTTCGAGCCATGTGTCACAGAAACCTACTGATTTCTAAATTGAGTGTCAAAAGAATGTTTTCATATGTCCTGTAAGTTGCACTCAAGTTCACTAGTGACTAGTATAATGCAAAATTTATGGAAATCAATGTTCACCTCGATGTCGTGCAAAATGTTTGAACCCTTGATGAGTATGTGTACAATAATTAGGTTGCAAAATGACATGCAAGTGACAAGAATTATCTTTCAAAGTAATGGAGGTCATGCAATCAAGATAAGTAACTATTATTTAAACTGAAGGCAATTTATTGAATATATATCCAGGAATGATGAAAAAGATTTTTTTTTTTTTTTTAAATCATTCTTTTTTTTAAATCATTAAAAAAAAAAAAAACATTTTCTAGGCCATGAATGACCTGGTGAATGCAGTGAAATACTACAAGGATGTGTTGAAGCATGATAACACACATGTTGAAGCCATAGCATGCATTGCAAACTACCACTTCTACTCTGATCAACCTGAGATAGGGCTCAGATACTACAGGTATGTATGCCATCCTTCTAGAAGACAAGGATTCGGGAGCATGTGATTTCCAATGTTTCTCATAATCATATAGCTCAAGAAGTTAATTGGTGAAGGCTAAAATTTAAAATTTTCTGAAGTTTCCTAAAAATTACCTAAGAAACTTTCATCACCAAAGGAAACAAAAACAAAAGGTAGTTGTTGTACTTTCAGCAAAGTTTTTATAAGTCCAACAACCTAATAAGCACACTGACAAACTTGTAAACAAATTTGAATGCCTACGGTATACTGATCAGAAGATAATAACAAAGTATTTCAGGGAGATTATTATGTATGGTAAATGAAATATGTTCCTTTTTTTTTAAGACAATTCTGTGCATTTATCTTATTCAACTATTCTGCCCTTGCATAGTTAGAAAAATAATAATGCAGTATTTCTCACTTATTCTATGTATGTAGTATCTTCAGTACCTGTTGCAAATGACGTAAAAGACATTTCTGCCATGTCGCATGTCATTACTACCGGTATACGTTTCCGTATATCCACTCATTTCACATATTATTGACACAACTCCTGACATGGCTAAACAAAATATTTAACTTTGGAAGGATTTGGTTCGCCTCTTCAAACGAATATGCAACATTTAATGAAGGAACTCTAAATGTTTTATTTCACAGGAGATTACTGCAGATGGGTGTATACAATGCAGAACTGTACAACAATCTAGGGTTATGCTGCTTCTATGCACAGCAGTATGACATGACACTGACGTCATTCGAGAGGGCGCTATCACTCTCTGGTGATGATGCCACCACAGCGGACATCTGGTACAATGTTGGTCAAGTTGCAATGGTATGTATTTTTATAACCAACATTTATATAGCACTTAGTATACATGCTGTTTCTAAGTGCTGCAAAATTTGAACATGTATAAGATCGTTCAAATTATTTCAAAGATACTCGAGTATGTTATGATTGCTGAGATGCTCAATTTAATTCATTGGTCAATATCGATACTGTTCTAACAACTCTAAGCATTTCTCAGTAATTCCAAATTTTATTGTGTGACCATTTTTCTTCTGTAAGAGAATGATGGAAATATGTAAGCTGATTGCGTCAAGCAGTAAATTGTCATTACATTAATTTTAGGTAATATAAAACAGATTTTCAATCAAGCAAGAACCTGCAATACATTTTGTGAGAAATATTAGAGCATTGAGAGATATTGCACATTAATTAAAATGTCATTGTTTCTAGAAAATTACTCTGCATAGTATATTTTCTGTATTTTAAAATATAATTTTGCGAAGTAAACAAAAGGTTTCTGGTTTGCAGAAAGCGTGAAGCTTCTAAAACATTTATTTTGTTTGTTCAGGGCATTGGTGATACTGGCTTAGCTCTACAGTGTTTTAGATTGGCTCTCACATCAAACAATGACCATGCAGAGGCTTATAACAACCTAGGAGTATTGGAGTTACGCAAAGGACATGTCGACCAGGTAACCCCTTTCATCATCTCCTACCAAATATTGAAAGTTCTGTATTAATTAGTCTGAGTAATGAAATATCAAGGTAAGATGTAATTGATTTAAATGCGGAGAATGATGTAGGTCAACAGTTTGAATATTTGCTATGGTTGAAATATAAGTATTTTCTTAACATATGTGAAATAAAAGATTATAGTTAGTTAAATAGCTTTTTTATCTTGTACCTACCATGAATAATCCAACTGTGTCTTAAGATATTAGAAATACATTTACTTCTGTATTACTGGAAATACTTGTTGAACATATTCAAGGTTCATATAAATAGGTCACATTATTGCAGGTAGAAAACCAAGAGTCGCCCATTGGTTAAAAAATAATAAGTATATAAATAGAATAAGTCTAATGGAATCATCTTTTTTGTGCTGTAATTGTTAAATGATTGTTTACTCGTTTCTTCTATCCTAGTCAAGAGCATTTTTCCAGGCAGCTCAGATGCTAGCACCTCACATGTTTGAGCCACACTATAATTTTGCATCACTTTCAGATCAGGTAAGTTGACCATAATTGCTTTGTTTTCCTTCACTACTCTTATCATTCCCCTTCTACTCATGCTCCCTTTTCCCCTCTCTTTCATTTCCCTCCTCTGTTACCTTTTCTTGTTTTGACAATTGTTGATGAGAAATTGTGAAAAGTGTAATAACCGGTAGCTGTTTTGAAGCATCTTGTAAAAAAATTGAAAAATGTGTATATACAAATTGAGATACAATTATTGGTAACTCTCCAACGTACATTCACTTTTTATTGAGTTTTTGTGATCTTAATGCAGCAAGAGTAACTCAATTCTAAGCTGCTGCCAAGTATTTTCTCTTGAAGTAGAGTAATTCATAAGCAAAGTTGAGATATAAATGAGTAAAATATTAGACTGTACTGGTCTAAATTACAATGTTTTCACCTATTTTGTATTAAACTCTTTGTAAGAATTTATAAGTATTCAAACGTATGAACAGGACCACAGTGTTCCTTCACTTTTGCTGAAATTGTACATTGCCTGTATTAAAGACATAATTATATCCTTGTTTGTGTTTCAGGTTGGTGATCTACAGAGCAGCTACGGTTCAGTGAAGAAGGCAGTAGAGTCCTATCCAGAGCATTGTGATTCCATGGAGCTCTTCTCTCAACTCAAGAAACATTTTGCTTTGCTCTAAGAGTATGTTGTTCCAGTTTATCCATCGGCACATTCCTTCTAGAGCTTACCAGACTGAACTTTTTGATGTCGAATTGGAAGACTTTGTTGTACATGTATAGTTGGATTACAAGATTGTGCCTATGCCTTTTCAAGGATTATTAAACCACAGGAATATTTTGTTGGTTTAGGTTGTTGCTGTTTGATGGGGGGGGGGGGGGGGGGGTAAATGTAAGGCCATGTATTCTCTTCTTAGCATATGTGCTTTCATTCATCTTCAGTTTGTATCTGGATGTCTGATATAATGAATGCATCGGTCATTCTATGATCTCTCATAGATGCCTTTGTATTGGAGCATTTAATCAGGCAACAGCTACAGGATAGTTTCTTTTTTAATCAATGACACCTCTTCAAGAAACCTTGTATTCCATTTGAGAGGAGACTGGACTTATCAGTTTTTAGATTTTCAGGGCTACATAGCATGCAGGAACACTGTGCAGAAACAATGAAGTATACCTTCATATTGATGGAAATCTTCAGTCCGTATGCAGACTGTATCGTATTCACTATCATCTGTCACTATTTATCACCTTGATAATGAAGTTCCTAATTGTTCTAGTTCTTTATTAAATGAATTATGACCGATGTTTTGTGTATACAAAAAAATTAATTAAAAAGATATAAATCGGTAACTTGGTGATTTCCTATTTGAACATTATTTAGTGATAACAGAAAGAGCTATTTAATAGTTGATTGTCACATCAAATATATTTTTCATATTAGGATGAACAAATGGACAATAGACTTATGTCATGTTGGAAACAGTTTGCCAAGTTGCCCCTTTTTGTATTCATGTACATGATGGATATACTTGCTTGGATGACAATGAGAGAGACAATATACCATATGTTTGCTGTTCAAATTATGTATATACTGGTATTTAAAGAATATAGAAAAACTGCACTGGTAATTTGCCCAATGCATTTTAGGATCCTCTTGTAAATATCTACTGTATTATTTTATCATGACACCATGTATTTTTGTGTGCAATCTTGATATATAGAGCGACAAGAAATTAGACATTTATTTAACGTAAGCAATTAAAAATTGCCAAATAGTGAATACCGGTATGTTTATGAAGAAAACTTGTTTCAATAGATCATTTAGAATGGTAAGGCTCCCCCAAATTTGTTAAAGAATTAGTCATTCCAATATCTATAATCCATGTAGCCCTCTTTGTGATGTTACAGCATGTAGACATATGCCTGGTATATGTGATTATCTCTAAAGCATAAGCCTTGTGTAGCTGGAATGGGATTTCACTACACTCAGTGAAACCGAGTATAAGCTGTTATAACTCGGTATAAGCTAATGCCTTGAAAGGCTGACATTTTGGGGGTTATATCGAATCTAGACTCGAGAGATTCAACCTTGTATTGTAGAGGACAAAAAAACCACTCCATTAGGTGGGGATTTAGAGGTCGGTATAAGTCGTGTTACAACATACATGTGCGAAAAAGAGTTTCTGGTACAAGTAGGTAAGACTTAACGATACAATATTAACCTCATCGGATAGAATTGTTTGTTGCTTACATTTAAAAGATTGTGTTGTAACTTTTACATCCTATTTCTGTTTGAAATATGCGTGTAGAAGTTTTAGATCTGGAATTGCATTCATGATGTTTTTAAGACACTCTTGACATCCTACTATTTTAGAGTGTAATCTGCATAAATTTGGCCTTTCTCTGTCTTTTTTGTATAATATTGTGTTCATAGCAAGACAACATAATGTGTTTCATAATGATTAGTAATGGCTACTGGGGGTTCATGGATGGCGAAGTGTAGGTTAAGGTTTGTCGTGAAAGTATTTTATAATAATTCATTGGTCTCTTTCTAGCGCTCCTAACCTCCATTCGTCAGATATTCATGGCCGTCCAAATTTATCAGGGCATTAATTAGCTTGTTATGTGAATCAGACATTAGGCGGTGTCAGACAGAGGCAAAAAAAAATCTGGATTTTAGTTATCCTCTTAATTGGCTGTCTGTCATCAATTATCCCTTTAAAAAAACGAATCAAGAAAATTCTCCCTTGAAAGTATTTTTCAAAGGATTTTTTAAGCAGTTTTTCTGTCTGACACCAATGTTGAAATAAGGACAGTGTAAGGTCAACGTTTGACTTAGTGATTGGCTGCCATGTGGTTTTTAACGAGCTATCATAACCTGTGCACAATTATATTAGCGCGCATTTAATGAGATTTTAGTTATCCAGATTATTTGTAGCCTGTCTGTCACTGACGTAAATGAAAAAAATAGATTTCTAAAATCTGGTTTATTCAAGATGGGTCAGGATTTTTCTGTGCGACACCGCCTAGTATGCTTTGCAAACATACCGGTAATACCTTTGAAAAGTTATCACAAAACTTTTTCTGCTTATTGGCAGCTCAATTCAAGATTTGAGCAAGATTATCATTTTGATTTTCAAGATGGGAAATTGTAAAGCTAATCCATGCTTAAATTACTTTGTATCATGTGGAAAGGAGCGATATGGGGTATTATTCATTTGTGAGACTATTTGCAATCTGTTTGTAAATCTATTAATGCATATATAAGTGCATTCCATATTCCATGGATTTATCCTACTAAATTGAAAAGGCTGTATGTAGAGTAAATAACAAGTTGTCAGTAGAGCTGTTTAACTACATGTATCTTGCTTGTTAAACACTTTGTGGGGTGTTTAATACTAGCAGAGAGTTTGAAAGACAAGAAAAACAGTGTAACAGTCATTTGGTTGGTGAATAAAGGTATTGAAATGAAACAGATGTTAATGAAGTTTCTTTTGAAAGAGGATCCACACTGAATTAGCCCTCTATTTGTAACACTTAAAAAAAAAAAATCTTTTGTGATGCTCATATTTAACTGTTGATAAAGAATATATTGTGGAATGAAACTTACAATACATATGTTCTTAAAATAATCAGTTTCCAGTTGTCAATGAAGACATGTACCCTTCTAGGAAAAATACCACTATCCTGCTTGTTTTCCTCCTTCAAATTATTAGAGGTTCACTAATGCACAAGAACAGACTTTAATTTAGAATTAAGTTTTTGTCATTGCAATAAAGTGTAAAAATAAAATGTAATTTGTACTTCTCTTTATTTTGAAGAGTATTTTGACGAAACAAAAATGCTTTGTATGGTATGATCATGGACCTATTGTGATAAATCGATGGTATGATATATCAACCTTCTTTTCTGATCCACCTCCATCGTCTGATTACCTCATTGTCAAGGCATTTTATCTCTCCCTCTCTCTCTCTCTCTCTCTCTCCCTTGCTTCTGCATGAATGTGTGTGCCTCTCTCTCTCTTTCTTTCCTTTACCATCTCTTTTCCTCTCCTTTACCATGCATTTTCTTTATTCCTCTCTTCATCTACTGTCTTCACCTTTGTCTCCCGGTCCCTCCTTCTACTGCATTGTCCCACACCCATCTCTTTCTTCTCCCTCCAATTTAAGTTCCATGACAAACAACTAAATTCCATGAGAAATATATTTTCATTATTCAAATTGCATTTCAGATTTTTCATGTTCACAATATGGTATTACAATTATTCAGTTTTAAATATTTAACTGGAGGCAAGTGAAACACTCCAAACTTACATCATCGCTATTTTACAGTGTTTTATTAACCTTCCCGTATCCTATGCTTATCAGACAACCCATCAAAGATGGAATCATGCCGTTGGCAAATTAATAAATCATGCATAACTCTGCTGTACTGAACTAAAACTTTATTCAAAAACAAGTTTTAATGATAAAATCAAGAATTGTAATCTCAGAAATCCATTAGCTGATAGGTATTCTGAAAGCTCAGTTAAGTTAATTACAATGACAACCAGACTGTTCTGGCACAGTTGAGAGGAATATGGTAATGTGTATTGTTATTGGCAGAAATTGCATTTAAGGCCCTCTGCAGGAGATAAGAAGAAAACAGTGAGCTAGGGAGACAAATTTGTAGTTGTTGGAAGAATTTAGGAAGGCCTACCAATTTTCAACCTTCATAAGCTCCATAAAAGGCATAAAGTAAACTCCATCTTCATGACCTCTTTTAATTATCTCTTCAATATGTTAATCGGAAGTGATTACCGGTATTACAACTATAATGGAAACGATGGGACATGTTCAGGTTGAATCATTTTTGTGCTATGTGTAACATGTGTGATGACAATCGCGTTGATCAAGATCGAGCCGAGGGATGGCATAGGTATGTGTACACATAAAATGAGCACAGTTAATTGAAAGAGCAGTGGAGAGGGCAAAGAACAAAAGCATTTCTCCTTCCTCTGTACCCCTTGAGAGCACAAACCAACATGCTGATAATGCACTAGATGAGAATCGGTCCGTGTTTGACCTATCAGCATATTTAATGCAACAAACCGATGTGATACAAAGACAAAATGACCTCACCAAGGTTCTTGTGGAGTGCCACCAGAGAGCATCATTACCTCAAAGAACTTTGTCACCATTCAATGGAGACCCGTTACAATACCTTTGGCTTTCCTAGCTGTCTCCACATTCATATGACATTTTTGTTGTTGTATTCTATTGTAAATGTGTCTCTTTAACTTGTACGCTATGTTTTGTATCTTATATGTTTTTTTATGATGTTTTATGATGAATGAAATAAAGATCAATTCATTAAACCAATCCCAGAGACAGGTTGTGTTACTTAAAACGATTCACCAGGGGTGAAGCTAATACAATGGTACAGGCAGGACAAGAATGTACTTCAGAAGAATAATGGCAACAGATATAGGATCAAGAATGTCATAATCAAGCGCATGGAGGAGTGGTCAGAAATAAAGACAGATGATGCAGGGAAGCTCAATAACCTTTCACACTGCTTGACAGAGTTGCTGAACACTGCCAAGGATTTGAAACAGTGCAATGAAATAGATCATTCCAACAATATCAAGATGGTCATCTCCAAGTTGCTGTATCGCCTAAAAGAGAAATGACCTCTTACTGCTGACTACATCCAGGAAGAAAAGGGAAAGTGTATTCAGTTTGTTGATGTTGTGACGTTTGTGGCCAAGGAACCTTGTGTAGTATCTAACCCTGTGTACGGGGGACATTATCAAAGGGCCACAAAGAACTGACACAACACATATGATTCCAATGTAAGCCAACCTGGAAACCAAGGAATGAAAGGCAAGGCTTTTCTATAAACATTTCCAGTCAAAGGCAAGAAAGGTCAACAGGCAAATACTGTCTTTACTGCAAGGTGTCATCGCATGATTTGGAGACTTGCAGAAATTTGGGAGCCAAGTCTATTCCAGTCGGGAAAGAAGAAATTCCCACTCAAGCTCAATTGAAGCAGTATCTGTACCTCCACCATATTCAGTTGCTAGAGACTGACGAGGATGTGGGCATATATTAATCAGAAATAATATCCCAAAAGTGTGGGAACCGCTGGAAGTAACATTGTTGGGTTGGGCAGTGTATGGTGCATCCAAGTTTGACAAGTCACAAAGGATTTCAGCTCATCATGTTTCCGTCCAGGCAGAAATTAATCAGCAGCTGATAGACATGTTCAACCAAGACGACTCCAGTGATTTAAAGTCCCTCTTTTGACCTACAAGTAATCCTTATGGCATTAATGCATTAACACATCAATTATGCACATGGTAATTAGGTAGATATCCCTAGGAGAATTTTCAGAAGACATTTTGGGATGAATTCGTAATTCAAGATTTGAAAACAGCTCCTGGTTTGAATAATATAAAAGTAATATTCCATCATTTGATGGACTTTTTTGTAGCCCTTAAACAACAGCTACATGTAACCTTTAAAACTTATCTCAGAATTCAATTTTTTTTTAGTCAATAGTGTAAAGGCTGTAAAAACTTTAATCCAGACTCACAACCAAAAAGATAATTGTGGAGCCCTGCTGTATTAAATTCTTGCTTTGAAAGGGAATTCCCCTAACATTAATATGTCAATATCGACTCCTGTCAAGAAAGGGAATGAGATTCTTGATATAATGATCTAGGTTAATTCACAATGGTGGCACAAGCCATGGTCAGTCCATAGCCAACTACAACATATTTACACACCGACAGGATTAATTGATAAACTACTAACACAGTTTATTCACAAAGTCATCTAAATAATATTTCAGAACAAAAATTGGTTATTATACAACTAATAAAATGTATGTATCTTAAGATTGGAGGAATATGAAGCAATTCTTTAACAATTTTACCATTCCTCTTTGGTTTAATGGAGATACTCAGAAAACTTCCCATAATTGGGAAGAATATATAGTTCATCTTAGTACAGAGGATTATTAATCTGAACAAATTCAACAAACAAACTAAATACCTTGTGAATTGCTCAGTGGTACTTGCTTAAGACAAACTTTTTTTTTTTTTACTACATGTGTATTAAAGGCTTATGGTAAGAAACTAAAGTAGTATTGTAGGATCAGAACTTGTGTATGTACCAGCATACAATCTTAAAGTCCCCTTCAGATAAGATGTGATTGCTATCACAACAATAGCATGAATCTTTTTATCATGTCATAAAATAAACAAAAACAAAGAAAAGAGCCCCTTTGGCCATTTAAAGTTGGGAGCTTTCTTAGTTTCAGGTACTTAAAAGGTAGCAGAAGTCATCATGACATAAAATCTAGTGGTGTGTAGACATTCTCTGCAACATGGAGAGAGATTTCTTCACTTTCTGTAGAAAATGAATAGAAAAAAGAAAAAGATTATGAATATCAATAAGTATGAAAGGGACATAAACTTAATTTACTCGACATTCTTTACATTCATAAATTCTTCAGTTTCTCAGATTTTGGTACAATACTTAAATGAGGTCTAAAAATAGGCATTTTAGGGATAATTAAACTACCGGTAACTCTTATTTTATCTTTCAGGCATTGATAATAATGATTGTCATTTTTTGGGAGGGCGAAGTTATTGGCAGTTTTTATTTTCACATAACCCCCCATTAATCAAAGTTTTATTTATTAAACTGCATAAATGACATGAACTACAGGTAGATCAAACATGTATTGTAATTCTACTGATGTTGAATCATAACATTTAGATCTAGACTCACTCTTTTTCTGCTCTAATCTCAGCTGCGCTATAAGCTCTGCTTTCTCCTCCTCTGGCATAGGTGGTAATTGTGGTAGCTCAAAGTGATTCTGTTTCCACTTGATAAAGAATATTCCTAGAAGTGTCCATGTTCCTAGTGCATACCCAATGGAAGCCTTTCTACCCCATACAGAGTTTTTACTCCTGTCCAGTTTTCCACGAACAAAGCGCAGATATTTCCACATGGTGTTCAACTCCTACATCAACTATCACACAGATGAGATTAAAGCTCTAGGACTCTTAACACAGATCAATCAAAGCTGTGATGCAGGAACATTGCTAGATAGAGTCCACCTTCACCGGTCAGCTAATAGCATGGTGTTGATGGATGGATTCCTATCTGAAATGGAAAATAAAAAACAAGACATCATCATTTATGTTACATGACCATGCACATCAACATGGGTGCTAATTTGACAATCCTACTATCATCTTGTTTTCTTTTAAGGAAGGAGGGTTGGTATTTCATGCAGGTCAAAATCAGAAGGTATATATTCTTTGAATTATTACAAGTATAATTTTCTTTGAAGTTTGAAATATATAATTAGAATACATAGTCAACTTGAACTATAATAGATCAGATACATGAAGATAGATGGAACATATTCTTCTTCTTCTTCTTCTTCTTTGGTGCAGTCTACTTCCTTGACCCTTGACGGTTCCTTCAATCTTGAAGATTCTTGCAGAACTTTGGTGTAGTGTGTGTTACAAGGATAGGGTGCATGTGCCAATAATTAATGAGCATCAACACTAACAGCATTCCATGAAACCCCAGAATAACTTTCTCTGGACTACTTCAGTCTGAGATTCAACTGCTTGCTTTTATATTCTCTCGACTGTGATAATCATTCACAAAAAAACAGTATTCACTAGGTAAGGACATTAAATCATTGCAAACACTAGATCTATCCAAGATTAAAAATTTGAAGATTTCAATTTCAATGTCATCATGTCACTGGAAATGTAGAACTCGTCTCAAGTTAGTTTGAATGAATAGTTTTGCAATCACCCCTTTAATAGTTGCATACATTATTGTTAGA